ACACCTCACACTGGAATTAATTCTGTTCAATAAAAGAAATCAGGGGCAGGAAGAAGCCAATCCTCACTCTACAGTTAAATGTCCCCACATTTCACCCCCAGGGTGAAGCAGCCTCACATCCTCAAATATGTGCTCTAAAACTGCTCATGATAATTAGTGTTATCYACATGGCTCGGAACTACTTAAAATCCACTTCATTTGGAGCTGCTGTTAATAATGCAGCAGGCAATATTACAAAGTCTGGTGAAAATCACCTAATTTAATGTAACACTTTACAAACCAAACCTGTGATGAATCTCAGCTGCCTSTTCAGCTTCTCTGCAATCAATCTGTTTGGAGTCATGTTTATATATTTAAAACCTGTGATAGACTGCCACTAGACTTGGCATCCACAASCACCTCAGGAGGCTGATTTAATGTGAATGCTGCATGAAAAATCAGATTATCTTTTGATTCTCTCTTTTATTAAATAAAACTGATCTTTATTGAATAAAGCTGCTTKTATTAATATCTAAAACATTGGTTGGTGTCACAGAGCCTGCCAGTCCTAAAGAACTAATAAAAGACAGAAGTAAAAAATGAGAACATTACGGGGAAATATTAGAAACCAAATCACATTAGGCCAGTATTGCAGCTGACAAATAAAACATGAGTCTAGCTGCAGAATTTTTTGTTTAGTATGAATTTATTATTTTTACTGAAAGAAAAGGAATCAGAATAGGGCTTTTCCCACAAATACACTGGGGCAAGAAACACAATAAGAGCAAAAAAGTGGAACTKATGTTCCCCTTCCCCTGTATAAAGTCTTAAACAATTCCAAGTTCACTGCAGCTGGGACAAAGCACAAAAACTTTGGTTTTAAGGGAGCTGYTTGAACCTTAAGATTGAAAGATTTCATTTATTCTGAGGGTTTTATAGAAAACTTTTTGGGTTTTTGCATGCAGGCAGATCTTACAGGAAAAGCTGCTACTGCCCACAGATGTGCTTTGTGCTCACGTGAAAGCACAAGCACTGCATTTTCCATCCATTTCAACTGCACAGCTGGAGCAACAGCTGCCTGTGAGGAGCTGAACACGAGAAATACCAGCACGGCTACTTTGAGAAAAAAAAAATGTGTCCCTCATTGTCACAATCTGTCAACGTGAACTGGAATTCAACCCTCAACTCCTGTCTGGCACCACCAAGGACAGGAAGAAATAATACATTTCATAAATCAAATAGAATCATCTTTGATTTTAATCCCATATATTGAATTAGATCCCATTACTCATATGGTAATATCCCATTTTACAGGAATGAACTCCAAAGCAAACAGTGCTGAAACACAGGTTGTTGCACTCCTCAGCTTTTCATTTTCCATGAATCCAAATCCACTTCAATGGCAGTAAAGACCTGCACATGAAGATTTTGGGAATGGCCYCAAGCTGGGACATACCCAACAAGCTCAGCTGAGTGATTCTTTGCACACCACAAAGCCAGTGAGTTCCTGTAGAACTGCATCTCACAAAGATATAACACCAAAATTCTAAGGGCAGCACAATATGGCATATTCTGATAGCAGCAGAATTGCACAGAAAAAGGCAAAGATACAGCCTGTCCACAATGAGACAAAAAAAAAATCTACAGGATAAGACCCAATGGAAATCAAGAATGTTCAAAGAACACTGTAACGTGGATAATTCCCAAGGGAACAGGAGCAGTTCCAAGCCMAATATCCAAATATTCTTCTCCTATAACATAACCAAAACTGGCCATTTGGGGGTTTGGTTTCTCTGTCTCCCCATGCTCACTTTGCTCCAAGAGGAGATTTGCATCACTGCACAAGTTCTCCACATCTCCAGCTACGGGGAACACCCTGAGGGGATACAAGGAAATCCTGCCTAATATGCTTGCCAAGCTTCCAGTTTAATAAAATTGAGAGAAAAAGAGAATCAAACCAGCAGCTCTAGGGCCTGACATGTCATTAGAGAGCAACTGGCAGGAAGAATTCTGCCCAGGATGAGAGAGAAYAACACAGAATGCTCAGCAGAACACRAGCGGAATAAGTCACTACAATATTTACTTGATTTTTTACTATCAACTTAAAATTCAAACTTGAAATCAATGAAATCTGGTTTTATCTGATGACATTTATAATGAAAAAGGTTCCTCAATCCTTAGTCTCACAATATACGTCTCAAAATTGTTTAGCATCCTACAGGAGATGCTGTTYTCATTCTAGACTTAAGCCAAGCATGGAACCTGAAGCTCAAAYAAAGTATTGAAGTTTTCATTCCACTCCAGTGGAGCTAATGACTTTCCATCTAAACAAGGCAACAAAACTGTGTTAAGCCTGTTTTCATTAACATCAGCTGGACCTGGTTATTTGTTAACTGAAGATTTCCAAAGAACTTCTTTTCACCTTTGATAACAAACAGCAAAACGCTGAACTGATGGAGGGTGAGCATTGGCTTCTTAGGACTGACTCAAAATAAAATTAAAATAAAATAAAATCAAAATAAAATTAAAAATAAAATTATATATRTGTATATAAATAGACTGAGAATGTATTAACACACACGGATTAGAACATCACTAACAAGTTGTCCTGGTGGGAACTTTAGCTCAATATTGAAAACGACATTTCATTTCTCAGGCTGGAGCTACGCATTTTACAAGATAAAAGCAAAGCAAAATCACAGTAATATTCTCAAGTCTTCATCATCATTACTTGAAAGATTTGGGAGCTGTGCAGTAAAAGGTGTGTTGCCATGGTTCTGAGTAATCAGCAACAGCCTATGCCCAACAGACAAATGATTGCTGCTGCACGTTAAAAGCTTTTGCATCTCTTTAGGAAAACTTTGCATCATGTCAYAAATGGGAGAGCTCTTCTATTAGCAACAGAAAAGCATCAAAGAAACATGCCCTGTAGTAGTCATCATGCATGGTATTTTTTTGATCTGTTCACCTTRTTATGTTGAGGGGGTGGGAATCAACCTTTTACACTGGCAAGTTTATTCTGTGGATCTCTGGAACACTCAGGTCTTTTCAGAGTGTAYTAAGGCATAGCAGTGCCGATGGAGTCTGTTACAAAAATTAAATAATTACATTAAAGATAGATATCTGTATTACAAAACAGCAGAGTCCCTGCCATCACACAGTAGCACTGGTTTGGATATCTGAAGTGCAAAATCAACAGCACAGCTAAGARCAGGAATTCTGGTGGGATCTCCTGTGTCTGTTTTCATGGAATCACAGAATTCCTTAGTCTGGAAAGAGCCCTGAGATCGAGTCCCACTGCAGACCCAAAGCTGACCATGGCCTGGCACCACATCTCCACATCTCTGAAATCCCCCAGGCTGGGGACTCCGCCACTTCCCAACTGGGCAACTGTGCCAGAGCTTGGCAACCTTTTTGGTGAAGCAATTTTTCCAAATAAATCTCTCAAAAGAGATGTAAGTAACATTTAAGAAATAAAATCGCCCATGAACGCTCTAATTGCCGAGGTAGCAATAAAAGGAACACTGTATTCTGTAAAACTGAAATGCTGCTTGTACTCCTGGAATCACTGTGTTCTGACTAACCAACACTATGTTAATGCAGCGTTAAGGCAGCAAACTGAAACACAGCCAAAAGCCAGGGAATGAAGAAGTTAATACCCCTACTGCACTGTTAGCCCATCCAAAGTACTGGTGATACTGCTTATAATAAAATACATCATTTCCAGGCTAGCTGGGAAATCACAAGCGATTGGTGAGCAATGTGAATGAAGCAATCTCTTGAAAAGACTGATTTCTAATCCCTGCTGCTAATGCAATTCCRAGAGCAACTTTAGAACAGGGCTTATGTAGGCACTGCATTTAGGGAGCATTTGAGAAGACTTCTCATTTTGTTCCTTTCTTTCTTTACCTGTTCCAAGGGAAAAAAAAAAAAAAGGAGGAGAAGCAAATTTGATACAAGAAACCAGCACAGAAATACATAGCTTGTACTCTGCCTCCTGTCAATAAGTTCAGTTCAGGATACAAATCAATTAGTAAAAGTAACTCAATAAAAAAGTGCTGATCTCTGGAAGTGTAAAAGGGTGTTAAGAATAACTAATAYCTTTTTTAATAAGGATATTTATAAGCAGGACTCTTTACCAGAATGTTTGCAAAATCACAGGTTTAATGCATATGCTCTCATTCCCCTCTGAAGACTAAASCACATGCGAACTTTCTTTTTCTGCCAAAATGTAACTGCTGATGCACAGTATCTGCTCAGTAGAAATGCATATTTGTCCTAATTTATATTTCACAGGAATRCTCAGAATCATCTAAATTAAGTGTTACAAAAATGCATTCACCTCTTGGCTGAGGCCATGGATGAAWACATTTAAGTTCAGAGGAAGTTTTAAATGCACACAAAAATATGTGCGGTCTGTGTAAACAAGCTCGAGGGCTACAMGAAGGTATCACTGAGCTGTCTGAAGTGATGCCATCGGGACATTCAAACTCTATTCAGCATGCAGGGTATCAGACACCAGGTACAGGATCTCATCAGAGATGTTTCAGTGAGTACCTGCCCCTCTGCTCCAGTAAAACACTGCCAATCAGTCTGAGATACAGCACATTTCAACTGGAAAAATTACAYGGAACGTAGCAGTGGGGCAGCTAACGGCAACAGCAGCGTCCACCTCGGGGGATTTCAAATTTCCATATCACAAACGCTTCGTAATCCAAAGCTGAGCTCCCAGCTAAGCTCAGCAGCAGCATCCACGAGCTGCTCTAAAGTACAATAAGGAGGCAAGAAATGCCTCTGTGAATTAACTGGCAGACTGCTTGTCGTAGCCAAATAAAAGATCCTTCCACTCAGATTTCCCATCACATCCTCGGTGTTTTTGACTTGCACATGACTCCCCCCAAGTCCTTCAGTTTGAATTGTGGCATCAACACTCAGGGCATTACAGAGACAGGGGACAAAGGCTGGCGACGCAAAACAGGAAACAAGACGCAGTGGAACAGACAGAAGAGACTGAGGCTTACCTTTGGAAAAAACTGCTGCCAGGCTCAAGAGGAGAGGCGACAACAGATGCCCCATATTGCTAATCCCAGAAGCACACATCCTAGGCTTTGTGGAGCACTTAGGGCTCTGTTTCGAACACTTTGTAGTCAAAATAAAAATCGGTCAGCTGGACAGGCTACATTTTCACAAAAGGTCATCTGGAAAGCRCAAAAGGCATTTCCTTTGGAGAGAAGACTTACTTCTTTAGCTTTAACCCTCCCCCTTCCTGCCTTCTTCCTTCAAAACAGATGATGCTGTGAAAGAAAACCCCTGTCAATAAATTGAAAGAAGAATGAGCTGTGATTGGAATGTCGGTGTGGAAGCAGGGAAAGCAGAGGAGCAGCCCCGTTCCCCGCAGCCCCGATCGGGCTCTGGGCAGGGTCCGGGGGGTTCGGGGAGCGCTGCCGCTCCCGCCGGGATGCGCTTCAAGCAGCCAGCGCCCGCATCCCGGCGGAAAAGAACGTCTGCTCCCCGGCGGCACCAAAGTTTTCCTTCGGGTGATGCAGATCAGCCCTGAAATCATCCAGACACGCAGGGTTTGGTGTTGCGCGCTCTTTTATTCTTTCCCCGTTTTTTAAGTTCTCAGTTTCCTCATGGATTTGTTTGACTGTCCGCAGGGAGCTCGCTCGCAGGGAGGAGAAGGTGGCGGTCAGGGATGCTCAGGGATGCCGGGGCCGGCGCTGGCGGCCGGAGAGCCCCTCCCGGCCCCGCGGGCGCTGCTCGGGCTGAGCCCCGGTGGGAGCGGAGCCCCGGCCCGCCCGCCCGCGCCGACCCCGCCGCATGGCTCACTGCTCCGGCCGCGGAAACAACACAACACCCGGCCACACAAATAAATAAATCAGCGCCCAGCCAAGCCCCGCCTCAGCCCCGGCGGCCCGGCAGCCCCAATCCCCGGGCAGCGGAGCGGGGCGGAGCGGGGATTGGGGCGGGGATGTGCGGACCGGGGATGTGCGGAACGGCCCCCGGTGCCCGGCTCCTGCCCATTCCCGGCGCCCAGCTCCTGCCCGGCCCCTCTGCCCAGGTCCTGCCCATTCCCGGCGCCCAGCTCCTGCCCGGCCCCTCTGCCCAGGTCCTGCCCATTCCCGGTGCCCGGCTCCTGCCCATTCCCGGCGCCCAGCTCCTGCCCGGCGCCCCCATTGCCCGGCTCCTGTGCCCGGCTCCTGCCCAGCTCCTGTCCATTCCCGGTGCCCAGCTTCTGTCCGGCCCCCGCTGCCCAGTTCCTGTGCCCGGCTCCTGCTCATTCCCGGTGCCCAGCTCCTGCCCGGCCTCTGCCCGATGCCCCCGGGCGCGGTGGGAGGCGGCAGCGGCGATAATGCTGGGTCTGAGAACCCGGCTCATCCTGGTCGGGCAGGGCACAGGGCACAGGGCACAGCAGGGCACAGGGGAGGGCACAGGGCAGAGCACGGGGCAGAGCTGGGCACAGGGCACAGGGCACAGGGCAGGGCACGGGGCAGGGAAGAGCAGGGCACAGCAGGGCAAGGGGCAGGGCAGAGCACAGCAGGGCAGGGCACAAGGCACAGGGCAGAGCTGGGCACAGGGCAGCACAGGGCAGAGCACAGGGCAGGGCACAGGGCAGGGCACAGGGCAGGGCACAGAGCAGGACAGGGCAGGGGACAGGCGGCTCCGGCCATGCGCTCAGTCACACCATCCCCATGCCCGCCCGGCTTTGGCCGCTCCCGGAGCTCTCGCACGTTCAGCCGCTCCCGGCTCGCTCCTGCCGGACCCAAACACTCCATCCCTGCGCTGCCGTGTGTGTGCTGTGCACGTGGGGAGCCTCTCACTCCATCCCTCTGCCCAACTGCTCGTGTTTTCTGCTCTCCCTGAGCCGCTGCCACAGTCGTGAGCCGAGCAGAGTGTGCTGCAGGCGGAATAGGGAAATAATGTGAAGGGTGTGTAATGGAATACTTCATACATATTGCAAAAACAGCAGCAAAACCACCTACATGTGGTCTAAAATAGTGTTCAAAAGTGCTGGGGGAAAATAACCGAGCTCAGGTTTTCCATTACAGAAGGTATCAATACCAAACATTTGGTCAAGCTTAATAATGAGATCTATATTATCCTTGGCAGATAAAATTGCAGCAAAATGCAATTTACCACAGCCCATAAAAGAAAAAAAATATAACTACAAGAACTTACCGTCATTTTGTTYCTTCACAGAGTACATGTTTGGGAGCAGTAAAAACATTCATCTGAATATTAACATCCACAACACTGAAGCTGTAAATAGTCTATCAAAATAAACTTTGCACACTTTCTGTTTGCCAACACTGAGAAATACGTGATTACCCATGCAGTGAGAAAAGGCTGCGTTTTGTGTGGTGCTGTGAATTGCTTYCAGAAGTTCCTGTCAGTTTTGGGAGGATTCCTGACTCCTGAGAGCTTCCCCAGAGCTGAAGTGAAGCACGGTGCCTCTAGGACTGGCATTGTACTGGAAACACAAATGCACCATGTCAGAATATCCCCTATGTGGCAGAAGAGAAATAACCATTGTTGACTCGTGTTGTGGCCAAAGCCTTGCAGTGTTGTACAACACAGCACAATGATTATTCTGTAGTGCTCTGTCCAAGACAAGAGTTGTGTTCTGGAGGAGGGAGTCAATGTGCAGCTCATTCAGCAGCAGGGTGGAATGTGCAGGGTTATGGACCAGTTCAGCTGTGTTCTGGTGTAAAAGCATCAAAGAGAAATTGTGCAAAGTATGAAAAGTGCAAAGGAAGAGCCAACTTTTGAATAAACTCTTGTCTTCAGTCCCTTCAGAGATGAGCAAGTGCACCCATTTCTTGCACATGCCCTGCCCAGAAATAATCTTACTTTTGTTTTGGTGGKCATTTTATTGAAATASCAGCTGAAGGTTGAGCCACTTGTCAAATTTCCCTCTGCAGAGTGGGTGTCCCAGTTCCAGTTTCTGCCTGCRAGTGCAGGTGACAGCACATCAGCTGTGCAAACTCTGTTCTGGCCAACGCTTCTGTGAGAAAACCTTTCCTGTGCACTGCTCGTGGAAAATCACAGCAATTCATACAACTCAGGAATGAGAAAACATCTTCCTGTTTCGTTAGCAATGTGTTATTTTGGCAAGTGTGCCTCATCATTTCTGGGTAATTAACACATCTAATTGTGAAGGAAGATCTGGCATTAGGAAAACACAAGAGAGAGTGGAGAGACCTGGATCCCCACAACTTCATGGTAAAGGTAAAAAATTGACAATTCCACATGAAACGAGGTAATGAAAATATCCATCCTCACCCTGACACTTCTTGGTTCATCTGCTGATGTAATGCCCACATCAACTGATATATGTAATATACCTTAGGCCATTAAAATTGCTAATTGTTCTGATCAGTTTACCAATTCCCATTTTTGTTTGAGGTTGGGGKKTTTTTTTAARCAATAATGATCCCWCTTTGACAGGCTAAAAGCACAGGTCTGGTGGAAGTCCCAATGACAAAGAAYTGCAGACAARGGGAAAACTGGAGCCAGGWATATGAGCAAAAATRTTCCTCTGCCCTAAATTCCACAYTATATATATATAAATATAAATAAATCTATAGGTATAGATACAAAGACATGGAAATACAGAATATGTCTAGTGATCTGGAAGCAAACAATTCATCCCAAAAGCCAGTTGCATTTAACAATTGGCTCTGGGCCCACAGACCTGGAAGAWTTGGGTGTATTATTGAGTCTTTTAACCTGAGCACTTACACATTTTTTGCAAAAAATATTTTTCACTTTCAATTAAACTCTGAGRGAGAAATCCTGGTGCTGCTGAAGTCAGTGCTTGCCTTGCCATTGATTTTTACAGAGACAGATTTTTACTCCTATTTTTTTTTCCTCCTTTTCTTGGGATTGCACAGAGGACATYGAAATGGATTATCTAGGTTTGTAACTGCACAGAATTCAAAGAGAGGAGCAATTAGAGTCATAGATTCAGAAGATGAAAAGGCATCAGCATGATCAGCTTGACCTCCCAGCAATTTTATACAATTTAATGTTTTATCTTCAAAACATTCAGCAGTGATGAGGCAGCAGGTGKTTTGTGACTGCCATTTAGAATGCACAGCCTAGGTTGTTCCATTATTATTTYGTGTTTCTGTCTCTTATTTCTCCATGACAGCGATCTGTGGTCTGTTCTCTGTGTTTGKGGAAGGCAGAGCTTTGGGGAAGGTATTTCCTCTGGATTTTGTGCACCAACATCTTGGCCAGCTGTGCAGTCACAGCTGAGTCTCTTTGTGATGCTCCCACAGAAACGATAGGAAAATCAGAGCAGCATAATGGGAGATGCCTCAAAGACCAAACTGAGTCACTCGCTTCAGTTTCCTTTTAATTTCTGCATTTTATGCTCTTTGATATTAACCAGCACTTAGATTTTTTTTGTTTCAGTGACAGCAGGATGAAGCATTAAATCATTGTTAATTTGTTTAAAACAAATTCTCATCTATTCACTCAAACCACGTAGGGAAATAAAAAATGAAATCACTTGATTTCCTTATAAATGCTTCTGCTTTATGAGAAAAGTGGACTCAGTGAAAAATCCTGCCCAGGCTGAAGCCAAGATGTGTGTGACAGTTTTTATTTCTGCTGTCCATGCAGTGCCCCTTGAGTGCCAATCTCCTTTATGATCAAACACCAACCTCAGTGGGAAGAGCATTCCTGCAGCTCTGCTTTGTGTTTCTGGCCTCCCTGTCAGCTCACAACACCTGAAAAAGTAGATGGTGTCAGTCAGAATTTTCACTCTCCTTGTTTCCAGTGAAAACTCAGAAATATCTCGGTTCCAAATGAGTTCTAAAAATGACAAAGGACCTTATCACATCACAGCCAGGCTCTTATCAGCCAGATCAGCAGCACTCTGATAGGCAAAGGTGGATCTAAGGGGGCTTTTTTATTTGAATTAATGAACTAATATATTAACCTGCTTCACCTGACAGTGGGATTTTAAATCTGCTTTGGCTGCAAGTTACTGTACTCATTGTACAATCAAGTGCAATGATTTATGAGGACCAAATCCCACAAGATGCAGAGGCCAGCTCAAATAAAAACTTGGTAAATAAACAAACCAATACGTGTGCACCTCAGGGAAAAATCACTACGAGAAGAAATGTTTCTATATTGTGAGAAAATGAATAGGTACAAAAGTACCAATAGTGCCAAGTTACAAGAGGCAGAGTGATCCAAGTGGCTGGAATGTCAATGTTCAGTGTCCAGCTGGAAATCCAAAGCAATCCCAGTGCAGCACTGGGAAATGGAGTGGTTTGTAGGAGCAGATAACATGAAATGCAGAACAGAGGGGGTTACCATGCCTGGTCTGAGATGGAAMTAAAGACAAGCTGGTGTGATGCAAGGAAGGCAAGGCCCATTAAAACACTCTGGAGATATGAAAACATTTGCCCACATAYACTGCCAGTTTCCTGCTTTGGAAAACCATTGCGGGGATTCTTTAATTCATCATTTAGACCTTCAWTTTTAAGATGGAAAAACACTGAAAAAACAGCAATTATTTTAGCAGGATTAAAATGCAACTTTTAGGCTTAATCAAGTGGCTTTTTTTTCATAGAAAGGTCATTAAATGCACTAATTATAATTTGTARCACAATACTGTGAGTAGAGGTCAGATTTTCAGTGATTAGGATTTTTTTCTGAGTAGCAGTTGATGCTCTGTGCTGCAAGAACCTCGCAGGGAGAGCATTTTGGTGCCCTGTGCTGATTATGGTGGGTTGGATCCAAAGGTGTGGAGCTTCCAA